GCTCCGCCGCTCTCGCAGGGCACGGGCCATCCTGTCCTGTCCTGTGGCACCCCGGGACACGTGGCTGCCCCGCTGGGCAGGGAATCCCCCCCATTCATTGCCCCCTCCCTGCCCTGAGCATGGGGTACCCCCGGGTGTAGAGCGTTCCCACTCACATCCCAGCCCCAGGGCATGGGGAACCTGAGGGATGGGGCTTGGAACTAGGTGATCATTAAGGTCCTTTCCAACCCAACCCAGTCTATATGATTCTATGATATAACCCTCCCTCAGGGCATGGGGCACCTTCAGAGGCTGGGCATCTTGGGGACACAACACCCACTGGGACATAGGGCACTGTGGAGACACCACCATCACCATTCACACCCCTTCCCTCAGACCTTGGGGTGTTTCTGAGCACTGGGCATCCTCGATATGCCCCCATTCACATGCCCCTCTCTGAGGCCATGAGCCCCCCGGGGAGTCCCTCATCCACATAAGCCACCTTGGGAATAAGGCATTTGCAGAGCACACCCATTCAAATGCCTGTCTCCTCAATCCATATACTCTCCCTGGCATGGGGCATCTCCTGGGCACAGAGCATCCTGGGGTCTCCCCATCCACACAGTCCACCCTCAGTCATGAGCCCTTCCAGGGCTCATTGCCCCCCTGTCTTGGGCATGAAACATCCTGGGGACTCCTCCACCCACTCAGACCATTCTCAGGCCACTTGGCAGCCCAGGCCACGGGGTACTGCAGGGCACTGTCCGTCCACAGTCCCATGAGGAACACGGACCCCATGTGGGACAGACCTCTCCCCCACATCCCGCCCTTCTACGGGACTATGGATCCTCCATCCGCTCAACACCCCTGAGCATGGACTCCCAAGTTAGCCCACCCCCACCCCCCAATCCACACTGCACTCTGCAAAGTCATACACCCCCCACAGCTTGCAGCTTGTGCCCTTGACATTCCTAAATTCCTCCAGCCGCCACCCACCCTGGGCAGAGGAAGGCTCCAGAGTGAGACCCTGGGCTCCTGCTCACCAGTGATAGCGGCTGTGGGGGCACAGGAGCCTGGATGCCTGGGTTCCCTTGCCCAGGGTTGGAGGGGGCAGCTGGGGTGGGGAAGGGGCTGTGAGAGCAGCACCCAGCACCAGCCCCACTCTTCACCCACATGTGCCTGGGCTGGCCATGGTGGCAGTGGTTGACAATGAGTAGACACCACGGAAAAACCTGTGGAAAGCATCATCCAGCTGGGTAAACTGAGGCGTGAATTTTGGGGAGGGGGAGCCGGTGAGGAGTAGGGCTAGTGTGTGTCACCCATGTCCCTGTTGCCACCCCTGTGTCAGGGAGGGGCTGAGGGTGGTGGGTGTGTGGCAGGCGGGCACCTGGTGTGGGGAAGGCGAGTGGAGATGGGAGGAGGGGGAAGAGCAGGACTGCCAAAATCAACTCCGGGCGGTACAAACACCCGGCCAGCTGTGCGGTGTAGCTAGGGAAACACAGCACAGCTGGAGCACAACAGGCCCCTGCCTCCCCAGAAGACTCCTCCTGGGCCTCCCCACAGCCCGCTGAGTGACTAGAGGGGCTGCAGCCCACTGCCCCACGCCCCCAGTGCCAGCCCACATGGGATTGCTCATCCCCAGCTCACTCATGGCTGCCCCATCCTGTTCCGTGTCCCAGTTTGGCACATGTCCCCATGCAGTGGGCACCTCTCCCAGGGAGGGCAGTGGGGCACAGGGGCTTGGCCATGCTGGAGACCTGGCCCTTGGCAGGAGCTGGCAGAAGGCAATGAGGAGCAGCTGGGGTTCCCTGGGCAGGACAGCCTGCCAGCATCGCCAGGGCTGGGACACTGCCAGGACCACGGGCATCCCCCCGGGCATGGCTGTGCCCAACACCCTGCTGCTTGCAAGCACTTTCTGCAAGCAGGAACCATGCCAGGCAGCATGGCACCCCTTGTCCCTGTTCCCTCCTTGCTGTCCTCAGTAGTGTCACTGACCTGTCCCCTCTCCTCTCTCCTGGTATCCTCGCTGGCTTGGGATCCAGTGACGTGGAGGGCAGGGGAGGGTTGGGGTCTGTGTGGCTGTGCCAGCACTGCTGCACAGTGCCTGCTGCAGCACGGCAGCGGCCCTGGGGACTGCGGAACGCGAGCGGGGCTGAGCAGGGAGGAGACGGGTGATGACTCCCAGCTGTCCTGCCGGTGCCAGGAATCCAGTGCTGGCTCTGTGCACCCAGAGCTCGTCACAGTCTCCTGGCTCGTCTGCGGGACATGGGGAAGCAACGGGGGAAGCTCCCTCCCTTTTCCTAGGGAAAGGAGGGAGAGGCGGGGAACCCTCCTGGCTGCAGCTCTCCGCATGGGGGAATCTGAGGCACGGGGTGGCAGCATGAGGGAGAGGGGGGCTGCAAATGTATCCTGGCACTTCCAGGCTGGGACCAGGTTGGTACGCTGGCAGGGGGCCTGACAGGGCAGGTGGGTGCTGGGCATCCCTGCCCAGGGAGGGGGCACGGGCACTGTAGTGGGAGCACATGGGCAGGGAGGAAATGGGTGCCCCAGCTGCGCCTGGAGATCATCCACAGCCTGATCTGCCCCTGGAAATGCCCCCCCCCATCAAAGGGCAGAGGTTGCTTGCCAGAACCTGGGGGGGTCCCTGTGCTCTTGGGGAGGGGGTGGTGCCTGCTGAGGGTGGTGCTGGGAAAGGGTCCTGGTCTTGCCAGCTGCTTCCCAGCGCCTACACATGTGTGTGAGCAGCACTGCCCTGCACAAAGGCAGCTCTGAGGCTCCAGAGCTGGGCCTGACTCCGGCACATCCCAAATGGGGCTGCCGGCTACAGGCAGCTGGAGCTGCACCAGGATGGAGACAGCTGGCCATGGTCAGCCCCAAACGCCCCGCCTGGCACCCACACCCCTCTGCCACCTTTACCCAGAGCGGGCACTGGCTTGTCCCGCTTGGGAAGGTGATGGTCCCATGAGGTGTCATTCCAATCTCAGCAAGCATGGGTAGGACGCTCCACAGGTGCCCCCCAGAACAGCCTGCAGTGCTGCCAGGGCTTCGTGGGCACATGCCCTGCCCAGTGGTGAGGGTCTTATGAAGGATTCCAGAGGGTCGTGGTGCCAGGGCTGTGCCATGCCTGGCACGGAGGCGTCGCAGCAAGCCCTCACCCGTGCTCTGCCCCATGCAGTTCCCATTGTCTACCCTCATTAGCCGCTGCCTGCTCACGGCTTTGAACATGAGCCGGGCTTGGGGCGGCAGGAAGGAGCCTCTACTCCCCAGGGATGGGGTCATGGCGAAACTGCATGCCCTAGCCCCCTCTTCCCACAGCTTCCCACTGCCTCCTGGGCACCCCAGCGCCCCTCCAGGCACGAGCCTGGAGATGGGAAGGCATGTGGGTCACCCCTTCTCTCCAAAAAGAGCCCCCCTGGACTGACCTGCCTTGTCATGGGGCGTGGAGAGCCATCAACCTCCCCAAAGCTTTGTGCTGAGTGTGGCTTGTGCCGTGTCTAATCCCCCCGGCCTCACACACACGCGGTGGGGCGGGGGGGGCTGTCGTAATGGGTGGAAATATCTCATAATTCACGTTGGACACAGGGATTACAGCCGTTCCGGCAATATTTGCACAACTGGTAGGCGACTTACAGGGCTGGGCCGTCCCAGACGAAGGCTAAGGGGGGTCTGGGAATTGAGGGGGTTTTGGGGGTGGCAGGTACAGGAGGGGAGGGTGCAGTTTGAGGGGTGGTGGAGGGGGGGAAAGTGGTTGTTTTCTGTCTGTGAACAAGTGGAGTTTATTACAGAGGGCGTGTTGCTGGCATGGTGGGAATGGCTGGGGCTCTTGCCTTCATCCCATCCTGCTGTGGTGGCCATGGCTTGGGGAGCAGAACAGAGACCCCAAAAAAGTCTTGTCTGCCATGCCAAGCAGATCCTGGCAATGCTCTTGAACACCACGTCCAGTCCCAGTGCCCCATCAATGCCACAGAGCTCCCTACTCACAGGAGCACCCAAAGGTGCTGGTGTCTCTCTGGCCCCAAATGTCCCCTCCTCAAAGGCTTTGTGGGGTGACCCCAGCAGGAAGAAGGTGGGGGGCATTCAGGGCATGGGGGGGCCTTGTTTGGCATGGGGATTAGCAAGCTCCCAGAAGCGATGGTGGTCTCCCCCCTCCCCACCGGACATGCAGGCAAATATTTGTGCCCAGACTTCGCAGGACAGCGAGAAGGAATTTCATTCTTGCGCCCACCTGCGGCTCGGCTGCCTGGCATTAACCCCTTCACCACTCCATGGGATGGAGGGAGAGGGATGAGGTGCCCTCCCGGCACACCGCGTGCCCCGGACTGGAGTGGGGAGCTCAGCTGAGGAGCAGGATGGGAGAAGTGGCACAGTGGAATCACCCCAGGTGCCGGCAGAGCCACTGGCACAAGGTACCCTTGCCCAAAGCAGTAGCTGGAGGGTTCACCCAGGGGCATCCTCTGGGAAGCACCCAGGGCTTTGTGCTGCAGTGCTGGGCAGCAAGTGGCCTGCGAGTAATTGGGAAAGGTGGCAAAAACTGTGCCAGCCTTCATCCCCAAGCTGCAGCACCCTGACCAAGGTGCCCCTTGCAAGTCCCTTTGCCCAGCAGCATCACGGTGCTCTCCTGGGACAGCTGTCTGGGAGCAGTTCGAGGAGGATTTGCCCACGGATGTTTATTGCAATTTGCAAATATAGAAAAAAAGCCCAGAGGATCCAGGAGGGACCCTGCTCCCGGGGGCTGCCCGTGCCTGGGGAGAGGCTGCCCGGGTAGAGGGTCCCCCGCTGCCTGGCACCCCCAGAGCCCCGCTGTGCTTCTTTCCCTGGCCCCGGGGCCAGCTGTGCCCTGAGCAAACGGGGCTGTTTGCTCATGCCGGGATTAGCCGCTCCCTTTGTTCCTTTGACTTTCTCTTTCCTTTATGCCAGACCCTTTTATGGGGGCTTCAAAGGGGGCTAGGACCCCCCCTCCCTGCCCCTGGAAGGCCAGGTTTGCTTCCCATGCTACGCCGGCCTTGCACTGACATCCTCGGGGTGCCCATCGAGCACATCTGGGTGGCCCGCGGGGACAGCAGCTGTGCCACCGATCCACAGTCTCCCCCCTAACCCGGCGTCTTCCCCCTCGTCCCCCCCCTTCCTTGACTCCTGGCACCTCCTGCTGTTTTCAGCACCTTGGCAAAGTGGGTGCGAACGGCTGCCCCTGCAGCGGGATTCCCGGCACTTTGCACCCTGTAAGGAGAGGTGGGAAACTTGGCACCGGGATCCGGCCAGCTGTGCAGTCCCTCAGCCCCGCCTGGCTTCCTGTCCCCTGCCAGAGCCCTGGCTGCCTGGACGGAGCCCCCGCATCCTTCTGGGGTTCCTGTGCCTCACTGCCCCCGCACCCCCTCCCTCCACAGCACACAGCATCGCTGGAATCGGGCTGGGGCCCGCAGCCGGAGCTCCCCCCCACATCCTCCTCTGCCCCTCTGACACGGACAGCAAATGCTGGCATTGCCCTTTCCAGCAGAGGAATACCAGGCTGCCTATGGGCTCGGGCTGACACTGCCCGATAGCTTCTGGCATGGCTGAAAAGGAGCATTTTGGAATGAAAGGACTATTGTGTGCACCTTAGGGTGCCTCAGTGACCATGGGGGCCCATTAGACCTCCAGTTTCCAGTTGCTCTCCAGTTTCCCCTGATGAATTTTTGCCTAATGAAGAGGGAATGCAGGGCACCTGGCATCCCCAATGGCTTTGCCAGGGAGGGATGGGGACACAGGCATGGAGGGAGCATGGCAGGGACTGACGTGGGGCTGGTGATGGGACTGGGGCCAGTGCTGGCAGAGGGGTTAAGGGTGCTGATGGGTGTGTTTGCAGCTTGTCACGTCCGCAGACGGGCCACGGCCTGCAGGGGAAGCCTGGAGGTGTTTGACCCCGGTGCTCACAAGTCCCGTTGCTGCCAGCTGTGCCCAGGCGGGCTGGGCTGCCAGTCTCATCCCTGGAGCTGTGGCACCCACTGGACCCTCCATCCGGGCACCCCGTAAGGTGGGCTGTTGTGGGCTGAGCAAGGCTTGGAGCAGGCGGAGCAGGGCTGGGTGTTTACTCTGACTGTTGTCACCCGGCCAGGCGCTGCTGGGAATTGCCGGCCGCAGGAACAGGGGTGGGAACGTGCAAGAGTGTGCGAGAGCCGGGGTGTGAGAAGGAAATGCACGGGCTATGGGGAGACTGGGAGTAAGAGGATATGGGCTGGGAGCGGGGTGTCCCCCAAAGGGAAGTGCGTGGGAGGCTGCTGGGGCAGGGGGTTATCTGGGCGCGTGGCCTGACGCGTGCCAGGGGAGTGCGCATGTGCACACGTGGGTCTGAGGGTGCACGTGGGGCGTGTGTACCGTGTGCCATTATGGACATGCATGTACACATGGGTATGGGGCTCTGCACCCAGAGTGCCTGGTGGGGGTTGGCTTTGCTGGGGAATGCCATGGCCATGTCAGAGCCTGGAGCTGAACAGACCCCCAGTACTTCTTCCACCCACCCCACTCCCAACCAGTACCCCCAGTGAAACAGCCCTGGGACCGTGCACCAGCCAGATCCTTGTGCTCCATTACCCTCCCCAGCTTAGAGGGGTCGCTGTGCATCACAGCCACCCCAGGGATCTCAAGCTCCCCAAGTTGCCTCTGGGTGATGGATGTAGGGGTCAGACCACAACCTGGGTGAGGGTTACCAGGGATGGGGTCTAACTCTGGGAAAAGGTCACCAGGGATAAGTCCACCTCTGGGAGAGGGCCACCAGGGACAGGGTTCACCTTTGTGAGAGGATCTTCAGTGGCTTTCATACCTGTCTGCCACAGCCAAGAGCTGATGCTCCTGGGGCTGTCCAGTGCAGGGTCACTGATGCCGTCTCTTCTGCAGGTACCAGGGCCACCCCCACCCCCTGGACAGGCACAGCAGAGGCACTGACCACCGAGGCGCTGGCTGCCAAGCGCTCAGGACAGGGGCCAGGTGAGCAGACGCCGAGGGCGCCCAGGGACGTCTTTCCCTAGCCCAGAGCCAAGGGAGGA